CATCCAGCGACGCCCGACTATGACGTGCTGCTGGAGGTGGTGACTAGAGCCGTGGCTAAGCTCAACATCAACTGGCCACAGGAGGAGCAGACACCACAGGCTAGTGGTAGCTTGATGAAAGGTTTCTTAAGCACCACACGCCACCTCCACGCCGGTCTCTGCCATTCTTTCCTGATTTACATGATGAACTGAGTAAATCATGGGGCAGACCCTTCTCTACATGGCTTTCCACACCCCGATCACTGAACTACAGTAATGTGATGGGGGTTAGGGACCGTGGTTATGGGAGGATGCCTCGGGTGGAGGATGAGCTTGCGAGCTATCTCTCCCCTCGACTTGCGTCCTCCCTGGAGAAGCCGGCGTTACCATCCAAACCATGTCGCACCACATCCACGCTTGTGGGGAAGGCGTACATGGCAGCGGGCCAGGCAGGTGCGAGCTTGCACACCACGGTGCTTCAAGCCTACCAAGCCAACCTGCTACAGGAGATGGTTCAGAGGGGGGTCCCTCCGAGGAAGATCTGGCGGAGCTTCGCAGAACCACAAAGCGTTAGACGCAGTGCGAAGCGTTCCGCCAGTACCTCCCTCGCCGGTCTGGACCCAAGGCAGCTGAGGCTGCCAGGCGTAGGTCCCTTCCCTCTACGAGCTCCTACGGAGAGGAGGGAAGCAGAGTGTCGCTTCTCGGGGGCCCCCCGAGGAGCTGGGGCAGCGAGACGGCGCTCTCACCCTCAGCCGTCTGAGAGACGCGATCTGAGGACTGTCATCAAGTCCCGACGGAGCTCAGGGAAGACCGGGGTAGGGGAGTCTTTCTCCCCTCCCGCACCCCCCCCCACCACCCCCGGAGGCCGACCGAGGTCCCCTCCGCCGTGGCAACAGGTGATGTTATCCCGCCGTTTACACGTTCAGGACGCACCTGCCACCATCGAGTCCGCGCCGTACTGCCTGCCCCGAGGGTCTGCAGGCGGACGGCATCCCGACTCACTCACCGTGGATCTTCGGCGGCTCCCCCCTGCCGTTCTGGGGCTTCAGGGGTCCACCAGAAGATCACACGAGACACCAACCACGGAGCCCCGAGGGGCTGGTTCCGTTGGCAGACTTTGCAGACGCTTGGCGGAGCCTGACGAACATTTCTCCGCGGGTCCTGCGCACTGCCATAGATGGGTATCGACTACAGTTCAAAACCCGCCCTCCAAATTCAACAGAAGAGAGGGGGTGGTTTGGACTGTGGTCCGCCTGGAGCAAGGTCCGGTGTTGGGACAGGAAGTTTGTACTCTGCTGAGGAAAGGGGCCGTGGAACGTGTCTCCCCCCCAGACAGAGACGCCGGTTCTAAAGCCGGTACTTCATAGTCCCCAAGAAGGACGGAGGGCTGCGTGCCCTATTTTGGATCTGCGGGTTCTAACCGGTCTCTGAGGAGATTCGGGTTAAAGATGCTCATCATCCCCGCCACCGTGACGCACATCCAATCTGAGGATTGGTTCGTCACGATAGATCTAAAGGACGCCTATTTCCAGGTCTCCATCCGTCCTTCTCACAGGAAGTTCCTGAGGTTTGCCTTCGGGGATGTGGCTTACCAGTATCGGGTTCTTCCATTCGGCCTGGCACTTCCCCTAGCACATTCACCAAGTGTATGGATGCAGCACTGGCCCCGCTGAGGCTCCGGGGCATCCGGATTTCAACTTCATCGACGACTGGCTCATCCTAGCCCAGTCTCGAGAGTTGGCGGTTCGGCATCGAGATGTCGTTCGGGCTCGTCTGCGGCGTTTAGGGCTGAGGCTCAACGCAAAGAAGAGCGTGCTGGCGCCCACCCAACGGGCTACGTTCCTAGGGGTTGCATGGGATTCGACAACGATGCGGGCACAATTGTCTCCGGCACGTGTCGACACCATATTGGCTGCCGTGAAAGGGGTGAAGTTAGGCCACGCCATCACTATGAAACACTTTCAACGAGTGTTGGGTCTCCTGGCGGCTGCGTCCAGCGTAATACCATCTGGACTGCTGCACATGAGACCCCTGCAGTGGTGGCTAAGGAACAAGGGTTTTTTCCCGAGGGGAATCCTCTCCGTCTGGTTTGGGTTACGCGCAAGTGTCTTCGTTCCCTATCAGTTTGGAAGGAAACTTGGTTCCTGTCCCAGGGGCCCGTGCTGGGAGGGTCTTGTCGCCGGCTGGTTATTTCGACAGACGCCTCCCTCACGGGCTGGGGCGCGGTCATGGACGGCCACTTTGCAAGGGGATCCTGGCAGGTGCATCGATCCGAGTGGCATATCAACTGTCTCGAGATGTTGGCGGTGTTCCAGGCTCTAAGGAGTTTCCTGCCCGATCTCCAAGGCCACCACGTCCTGGTTCGTTACGAGGAGAACAACACAGCGGTGGTGGCCTATCTGAATCACCAGGGCGGTCTGCGCTCGCGCCCTCTGGACAGACTGGCGCGTCAGATCCTCCTGTGGTCCCAGCAGAGGTTACTATCGCTCAGGGCGATGTATCTCCTGGGGACGCAGAATCAGCGAGCAGACCTGCTGTTGAGGCAGGGGCTGAGGCCCGGGGAATGGAGACTTCACCCCGAAGTGGTGGAGCTCTTGTGCGGAGAGTTCGGCCCCATAGACGTGGATCTGTTTGCGTCTCAAGAGACTACGCACTGCCCGCTATGGTTTCTCTCGTTCCTCCAGCCCCGTTGGGTCTGGACGCCATGGTACATTCGTGGCCGAGGCTACGTCTGTACGCTTTTCCCCCAGTCGCTCTGCTCCCGGGGTTCTGGGTCTAACAGCCGGAGCAGTCGAGACCCTCCTGAGCTCCAGGGCCCCGTCCACACGGAGGATGTATGGCCTGAAGTGGAGTGTTTTCTCCACTTGGTGTAGGGAGCGGTCGGTGGACCCTGTTACCTGCCCGGTGGTTCAGGTACTTGAGTTCCTCCAGGACCGGTTCTCTGCTGGTCTTTCCCCTTCCACCCTCAAGGTGTACGTGGCAGCTGTTTCATCTTTCCACACCCCTTTGAGGGAGGGGTTCTTGGGGAAACTTCCCTTGGTTGTACTTTTCCTCCGTGGTGCCCGGAGGATGAGACCTGCGACTCGGTCCAAGGTTCCCACTTGGGATCTGGCAGTGGTTCTTGGGGCGTTGGCTGAGGCCCCCTTCAAACCCCTGGAGTCAGCTGAGGCCAAGCACTTGACCCTCAAGATGGCCTTTCTCCTTGCTATCACCTCTCTGAGGAGGGTGGGGGAGCTCCAAGCGCTTTCGGTTTCCCCGCAAAGCCTGGAGTTTGCCCCAGGGAATATTAGGGCTATCCTGCACCCTCGTTCAGGATACATCCCTAAAGTGCCTTCTTGTGCGGCAGGGTCCACAGTGCTGCAGGCATTTCATCCTCCACCTCATGTGACGGCGGAGGACGGGAGACTTCATCTGCTCTGCCCTGTCAGAGCACTGAGTAGTTACACTCTGAGGTCCTCCCGTTGGAGGAAGGCTACCAGCTGCTAGTGTGTTTTGGGTCTCCCAGGGCCGGGCTCCCTGCATCCAAACATACTATTAGCAACTGGATTGTTCAGACTATTTCCCTGGCGCGGTTTGCCTTCACCTGTGGCTGTGAGGGCTCATTCTACCAGAGGCAAGGCGGCCTCTCGAGCCCTCCTTTCCGGGGCCTCTTGCAGGATGTTGTTTAGCGGCTGGCTGGGCCACTCCGCACACATTCATTCGGTTTTACAGTCTTGACCTTCCTTCGGCACCTGGCACTCGTGCGCTCTCCTCTTAGTCGTGCCACTTTATTGCAAACAGGGGCAGGCGGGGTTTTCGGTACGGTTTAGTGGGTATCTCGTTCCCATAGTGTCGTAACCGACGCAGTTCGAGTTCCCTCGAAGGGGAACGTCATCGGGTTACGTATGTAACCCTGGTTCCCCGAGAAGGGGAACGAGAGACTGCGTCGGTCCGCCGCACCTTTCTCCCCGCCTGAAGCGCCTGCTTCATAGTTTAAGCTAATGATGAGTGTGTACAGGTGTGCTTTATACTCCTCCGGTTATTCCGTCACACCTTACCGTTCTAGCAACAAGCCAATAGGATTGGAGTGATTTCATTCACGTTCAGACCTGCTTCGCCTAGAGGCGTTCCCATAGTGTCGTAACCGACGCAGTCTCTCGTTCCCCTTCTCGGGGAACCAGGGTTACATACGTAACCCGAGACATTTTTTTAATGGAGAGACAAACCCACATATGCAGGCACATCTTACTATGAGCATAATGCGCCAATTAAACAGCAGTGAAAGTTACTCAAAAGCATTACATTTCAGAGACAGTAATATTGTAATCTAACTAATTACTCTCAATTGACACTAACTAGTAATCTTTAATGCATTACATTTTGGAAGTAACTTGCCCAACACTGGTCTTTAAAATACTCTCTGTTATGTCTTACATGCAATGAAGGTGTTCCGATCAGACTAACTGGGTCCGGGTCTACTCAGTGCTCTGGGAGAGTTGAAATCTATCACAACAACGCCTGGGGAACAGTCTGTGATGACAGCTGGGACTTAAATGATGCTGAGGTGGTGTGCAGACAGCTGGTCTGTGGTGCAGCACTGAATGCCACTCAGTCGGCCCATTTTGGTCAAGGAACCGGTCAAATCTGGCTTGATGATGTGGCCTGTTCAGGAAGTGAAAGGTCTCTAACTGAGTGTCGGCACAGAGGATTTGGGTCACACAACTGTAACCACGGTGAGGATGCTGGTGTCATCTGTTCAGGTGAGAAAACGTTTCAGATAAAGTATTTTGAATAAATGTATCCTTTTCTGTGTATTTTAGCAGCTCTGTCACTGAGTCATTGTGGTGTGAAATGTAACACTGTTCAGATGCAGCACTATATGAGCTGCTAACCACAACCTGCAGAATGCTTTTAGAATTGAAGAGCAGAATAACAAGTGGGAAATTTTGCTCAATACAGTAAATGAAACTGTAATGTAGATGATGAAGTTCATCGAGTGTTTGATCTACTTTGAAAAGTGTTTTATATTTCTCACAGTTCCGATCAGACTAGCTGGGTCCGGGTCTACTCAGTGCTCTGGGAGAGTTGAAATCTATCACAACAACACCTGGGGAACAGTCTGTGATGACAGCTGGGACTTAAATGATGCTGAGGTGGTGTGCAGACAGCTGGTCTGTGGTGCAGCACTGAATGCCACTCAGTCGGCCCATTTTGGTCAAGGAACCGGTCAAATCTGGCTTGATGATGTGGCCTGTTCAGGAAGTGAAAGGTCTCTAACTGAGTGTCGGCACAGAGGATTTGGGTCACACAACTGTAACCACGGTGAGGATGCTGGTGTGGTCTGTTCAGGTGAGAAAACGTTTCAGATAAAGTATTTTGAATAAATGTATCCTTTTCTGTGTATTTTAGCAGCTCTGTCACCGAGTCATTGTGGTGTGAAATGTAACACTGTTCAGATGCAGCACTATATGAGCTGCTAACCACACCCTGCAGAATGCTTTTAGAATTGAAGAGCAGAATAACAAGTGGGAAATGTTGCTCAATACAGTAAATGAAACTGTAATGTAGGTGATGAAGTTCATCGAGTGTTTGATCTACTGTGAAAAGTGTTTTATATTTCTCACAGTCTGTATGGGTGATGCAAAGTATAATGTCATAACCTTTGCCAAATTTGTCTTACAGTAAAGATTTCTGTCATGACTAAATGACAAACAAACACATGTTCTATCCAGCACTGATTTGTCTTCTGTGTTCTGAAACTAGGTATCAGACTAGCTGGGTCCGGGTCTACTCAGTGCTCTGGAAGAGTTGAAATCTATCACAACAACACCTGGGGAACAGTCTGTGATGACAGCTGGGACTTAAATGATGCTGAGGTGGTGTGCAGGGAGCTGGACTGTGGTGCAGCACTGAGTGCCCCTCAGTAGGCCCGATTTGGTGAAGGAACCGGTCAAATCTGGCTTGATGATGTGGCCTGTTCAGGAAGTGAAAGGTCTCTAACTGAGTGTCGGCACAGAGGATTTGGGTCACACAACTGTAACCACGGTGAGGATGCTGGTGTGGTCTGTTCAGGTGAGAAAACGTTTCAGATAAAGTATTTTGAATAAATGTATCCTTTTCTGTGTATTTTAGCAGCTCTGTCACCGAGTCATTGTGGTGTGAAATGTAACACTGTTCAGATGCAGCACTATATGAGCTGCTAACCACACCCTGCAGAATGCTTTTAGAATTGAAGAGCAGAATAACAAGTGGGAAATGTTGCTCAATACAGTAAATGAAACTGTAATGTAGGTGATGAAGTTCATCGAGTGTTTGATCTACTGTGAAAAGTGTTTTATATTTCTCACAGTCTGTATGGGTGATGCAAAGTATAATGTCATAACCTTTGCCAAATTTGTCTTACAGTAAAGATTTCTGTCATGACTAAATGACAAACAAACACATGTTCTATCCAGCACTGATTTGTCTTCTGTGTTCTGAAACTAGGTATCAGACTAGCTGGGTCCGGGTCTACTCAGTGCTCTGGAAGAGTTGAAATCTATCACAACAACACCTGGGGAACAGTCTGTGATGACAGCTGGGACTTAAATGATGCTGAGGTGGTGTGCAGGGAGCTGGACTGTGGTGCAGCACTGAGTGCCCCTCAGTAGGCCCGATTTGGTGAAGGAACCGGTCAAATCTGGCTTGATGATGTGGGCTGTTCAGGAAGTGAAAGGTCTCTGACTCAGTGTCAGCATGGAGGATTTGGGAAACACAACTGTGGACATAGTGAAGATGCTGGAGTGATCTGTTCAGGTGAGAAAGATTTTGTAATCATTTCTCTTATATGTAGCTATTCATAAGTAAAGCAGTAATACCACCATTACTTCTACTAATAATAACAACAACAGTAGCCTAATTGGCAGTAAAACTTTGCCTTGTCTGAGACTGTATGTTACAAAAAACCCTTTGTTCATTTTTCAGAGCTTATTTCTCTTTTGCTGACTTTTTGCCCCCTCTGGTTTGGGGTGTGGGATTAAAAGAAAGGGGCGCAGCGTTGTGATTCACTGTATAACAAATAAAGTTGTTTGGGTCCTGCTGCCTTCAGGACATTTAGGATTCGGGGACGTTTTGATGCAAATGTTCCTACACCTCACATTATAGTGACCCATACACATCAGCACAAATGCACTACAAGAGAGACAAAAGGGAACAAAAATAAATAGAGGCTCTCTGAGGCTGTAATGCTCATCATACAGAGAAACAAACTGTCTGATAAAGTGAAGTCACTTGGTTTATCAGGAAAAATCAGGAAGTCTCACCTGATGAAGTTCACAAATACACCACATTGCATGGTGGAGACATATCAGTCTGAACCACACGTCAACCTGCTGATAATGCTGGAGGGAATGTCAGGCTGTCAGGTTATCCTCTGGGAACCATGACTCTCAAAACTGTTTCCAGTCCTTGTTGCAGATGTGGAGCTATTTTACTGTTTGCATTTAATACGCTCCACTGATTTAAACTGAATTACAATAAAATAATACATTTCTGTTTCACTTCTCTCTTTTTGTCGGTATGCCAGTTCCCCCTTCTCTCTCTCTCTGTCTCTCTCTCTCTGTAACATTACAGTTTTTCTCAATGGCTTAAACACATTTCTTGAAATTATGCCTCTTTTTCTCGAAACTCTAAACACAAATCCACAACTTCTCACCCAATTCTCCAAACGTCCTATTTTCAGGTCAAAATGAAGCTCTCCACTCAAAACCATTCAATCTTGCTGAAAAACCAAACTTTGCCCTAAGACATGACACACAAGCCCTCAGAAACACACACACTGCAACACAGTCTGACACACTGGTGAGAGAGATTCAAAGCAATACTCCAAAACTGGTTATTTTTCTTTCTTTATTTTTCTTTTTTTTTTAAACCTGTCCTGCTCAGCAGCCTGGTATGGAGTATGATGACCTGGATACCATATTGTGCCAGACAGATTTTACTTTAACAAGAGAGTATTAATATACTCCTTTGTCTGATATAGCATGACAACTAAGAGAAAAATGAAAACAAGAAACAGTCACGCACCATAAATAAGCATCACAGCACAGCCACGAGAGCTGGAATAATAACAATTAATTTAAATAAGTAACTGAAAGAAAAGCATCAGGAATAATTCTACCAGGGACAACCTAAATTTGTTTGTGTCTATGTGTGAGACTGTGTGTGTCTGTGTGTGTGTGTGTGCGCATAAAAACAATAACTGGTTATTAATAATGTTGCTTGTGGTTCTCCCCTTCAGAAACCTTTTCACATGATGAACACAAAAGAAATAACAAATGTAAACATTTGCTCATTTTTTATTCCTTAGTGTGCTGAACAGTTCAACACACCTAACAACTAATTATTCAGCCCCAGCGTCCTGTCTTTGGTCTGAGACAGTCCAGAGATTCTTGTTCTCCACCTACTCCTCCTCCTACTCCTCATCTCCCTCCTATCCCATCTCCTCCTCCTCCTCCTCCTCCTCCCTGGTGTCCTCTATGTCTTACTTCAGATTTCTCTTGATCCATTGTTCCTAAACTGAATGAACTGACTCTGGTGCTTTTACCTATCTGTTGAAGCTTCTGATTGGTGTGTTATCAATTTTGACTCTTTGTGTTTCCACCTGGGTAGCTGTGTGCTAATCGAGCTCAGCCTGTGCTGATTGAACAATATTGAATGTCAGTGTTTTCTCAATGACCACATGGTGCAGGCAATGAGAAATGAAGGGATTTGTGAGTAGAGTTTAGAGAAATGGGTGTGCTTAGCTCAGTTAGCTGTGCAGCCACTGGTCAGATTAGCTCTGCCCATACTGGGAGCTCGGAGCACCAGGGAGTGTTTGTGTTTACCACAGACTGTATGAAGGTGTTTACACCTTTACTCAAGCACTGGAGGTTTTCAGGCCAGGGGCGGGGGGGCCTGGCATGGAATGATGGCGGGGTGCAGCGCCTGGTGATTGTGAACCGGAACGGCACCGGGTAAGCAGGCAATTCGCTCAGCAGTGAACACGGAATGAATAGGACCAAACACAGCCTCAAAGACCAACAGGGAATCCAGTACTGATATGATTTACCAGAGCTTCTTGATGTATATAGTTAGCTTTACTTTTTTTCTTAAATTTAACTGGAAAAGCTCATACGTACTGAGGTCATGTCCTCTGTATTGTTACCAGGATATTTAATCAACTCTTTCCATTCTACAATCACATTTTACAAGATTTTTTAGGCTGATTCTGATAATAATTACAGCCAGTAGGTAGGAAAACAACACAATAGCACATAAGTGTTTTCCCACAATTTATCCTCAGCAATGCTAAACTGCGCTTTGAGGGGCAGACAGAGAACGACGGAAATTTAGGAGATACAGCAGAGATGCATCTCGGACAGTTTCCACAGGAAATATTAAATAAAAATAACCCTGGGAAAAATAAATACCAATTGGAAACTAGAACTGCAATCATTTGTAAGCGCGAGTTGGCCTGGGCGCCCCGCTGCGGCTCGGGGGGCGCACGGAGAAGAAACGATGAGTTATAAATTAAAGGGAGTTGTGGTTAGGGAGATATAAAATTAATGTATGTCTATGGGAGTGTTATTTGATTTCCAAAGAATAGCGCCACCTAGAAGCCGATTGACGCCAAATTTCACAAAGCCCCTTGGGAGGTCGTGCAAGATAAGGAGTTTGGTGTAGATTGGCTGTTGAAAACGTAAGATCTGACATGACATTGTTTTATCATTTGCGCAAACATTTGTTAGCTTATAATTCGGAGGTTTTTAGCGGATCAAAATCCCCTCTACAAACTTTTATCGGCTTGGTTCAGAGATGGTCTGTGCCAAGTTTCGTACCGATCGAACTTTTGGCTTCGGAGGAGTTAATTGCACTAGCGGCTAACTGCACCAAATTTTGCACAGCCCCTCAGGGGGGCATGACACATAAGGTCCTGAAGTTTGGAGTTGATCTGTCATTCCCAACCTAAGATATGACATAACTTCCTGTTTATAGCGCTTTTCACAAACATTTATTAACGTATCATTTTAATAATTTTTGTCGTATGAAAATTTCCTCTACAAACTTTCATCAGCTTGGTCGAGAGATTATCCTTGCCAAGTTTGGTGTCGATCAGACTTGTGGTTTCGGAGGAGTTAATTAAAATAGGTTTTTCAGTTTTCGCGATGTAGCGGAAAAAAACTCTAGGTGGAAATGGGAGTGGCCTATACCATTAGATTCAGCTCGATCCCCCGCGTAGATATAAGGTTTTTGATATGCGCCTTCGTATGCGGGAGTTCCAAGGGCAAATGTGTATATAGCGCCCCCTAGTGGTAGAAGTGTGCGGATTTTTGCGCCTGAGGTACTTGCAGTGGTTTGGACCTACCCTATGAGTTTAGTGTCTGTAGCACTTACTGTCTAGGCTGCAGTATGAGTTTTAGCTGCGGAATAATAAAACGATTCCAATAGGGTTCCCAGCTCCACTGGTACTGGGAACCACGATGCCTTGCATTAACGGGTTCCCTGCCCACTCGACCCCTAAAAAGAATTATTATTATTATTATTATTATTATTAAAGTGCATTTTTAACCCTGTTACACATGGAGATGCCCACACACTCTGTGCACAGTTTGTTTTGAACATTACACCAATCAATCAAATTCAGAAATTTAAAATGCTACAGCAAATACATTTCTGGTACTGTAGATTCTTTAAAAAGAGCATTTACACCATCATGGTGGGAAATAAATAAAAAAATCCAGTTAAATTTGGACAATAAATATATTTAAAGATTGTTGTTGTGTGGTCAAACATTTCTGTGGTGTGTTTTTTTACCCAGTGAGACTGCAGCCGCCCAGCATCTCCCTGACGTCTCCTAACAGAGGTTCAGAGGTCACCAGGGGTGACAGCTTTGTCTTCACCTGCTCCACTTCCTCCCACTATCCCACTGGTGTTTTCTTCCTCATCTTCTCTGGCTCCAACATCACTGACCCCAAGCCAGCAGTCAACCACTCAGCCTCCTTTAACTTCCCTGCTGCTGAGTACGAACACCAGGGCAACTACAGCTGTGTGTATGAAGTCACATGGTCTACACGGAAATACACTTCTCCCATGGCTGCACCAGTTAGTGTCCTCATCAAAAGTAAGTAGAATGGAGAATTTAAACTAACTGTTGCTATATTTAATGAACAATTCCACCAGACAAAACAAGTGCTGTGGTGCTACATCCATCCATCGTCTATAATAGCTTACCTGTGCAGGGTTGCGGGGGTGCCTATTCCAGCTGATACCGGGTGTGAGGCGGGATACAACCTGGAAAAGTAGCCAGTTTATCACATACAGACACACACACACATTCACACCTCTAGGGGCAATTTAGAGTCACCCAGCCGGAGCACCCAGAGAGAACCCACACAGACACGGGGGAGAACATGCCCACACAGAAAGGTCTGGGACAGGCTAGGCACTGCACCACCGGGACACCTTGCTGTGGTGATACAGCGTAAGATAAAAAAAAAGAAAAAAAGACTAGCAAACCACCCACACATACCACAGTGTAGTGTGTCCATTACATTTGTATCACATTTGACATCATCCCCACCATAGAGGCAGTAGAAACCGTTAGGAAACGGCTAACACAAGACAACACCCTGGACAACAGAACAAGCCTCAGCCCTGACCAAATCTGCAAATTACTCGACCTCTGTCTAAACACCACCTACTTCCAGTACAACGGTGGATTCTACAGACAGAAGCATGGCTGTGCCATGGGCTCACCGGTATCCCCGATT